CTAAATGGATATATATTACATTGGTATTAATGATAGAAAGACACCACGATGTTCTCATTACGTATAAGTCCAATACATAATTGATGATACAATTAATTCTGTGGTTCACTAACGTTCTCCTAGTTTAGTTGACCATTACAGACGTCAATCATTCTTAACTGTATCCAGTTACCTCCACCATTTAGCCTGATCAAGAGCTTGCTAGTAGTACCGAGTGCCTTCATATCATTGGTAACTTAGTCCTTTCACCAAAGATGCGGACGTCCTTCATCGCGCTTTCTACCAGCGGGTTCGGAGTAGACGGAGTATTTTCTTCCATTCAGCGAAGCCGCTCACTAATACTGCTCTGTAATAATTCAACTGTTTCAGAAAGCAGGGCCGTCCGGTTGGTGGAAATAAATGACAACTAGTTAGTGAACTTTCGAAAAGCGAATAAAGCAATATCAAATCGATTTTTTTTTATTTCTTGATTAGATGAAATAATAGTTCAACTGGAATAGATTCAATCTTAGATTAAAAAAAATAAATTGCAATCAGTAGAAAATTTTTGAAACCGAATGAGAAAACAATAAAACAGCGTTTCTACATTCCTACTATTACACTAGTTTACAGCCAAAAATTTCCAAAGACGAGACTCATATTTTCTATAGGGAAATTTTCCGTAGAACTCGAAAATCATAACGATTTTTTTTTCCTATGTACCGTTTTCGAGATATTTGCAAAAAACCGTTATTTTGACTTTTCTCAAAACATCACCCTGCATATTCCCCCATAGCTTTTTTTCTGAAGTTATCTCGGTAGTATATTATATATCAAATTAAAGGTGAAACTTGTACCAATATTTTGAGTTACATAACGTTAATGTATCTTACTTAGTTTCGCTGCTATAGCTAGAAATGTACAGATGAAAAATGTTTTTTTTACGCTTTTTTCAACTTTTTCGGACTCCCACAAATATATTAAAAAAAAATTTTTTTTTTAATTAATGTTAAAGACTGTTTTAGTACAAATATTTTGAGTGGCTTAACATAAAAATCGAATAAAAATTTCAGAAGTTATTCGCCATTTTCCAAAGTTGCCCAAAATAGTGGGTTTTATTAAGAAGTCAGAAAAATCATTTTTTCGAATTTATTTTGTAAAATTTAGAGTGCAAATCAAAACTGTATTATGCAAAATTGCACAAATTTTATTTAAAAAATTAAAATTAATATTATTTAATATTAATATATTGCATTTTATATAAAAGTTTGACGTCGAACGTTAGTTTTTTAAACTACTAATTGGTATTATATGATACCATACGATTCTTTTTGGGATTTGCTATGGCTAAGCAAGATAAACCGTGGACTTCTAATGGAATGTGTCTAACCTGCAGGATTACACTTAAAAGGTGGTTTACTGGAAGAAAACAATATTTGAACTTTTGTGTACCAATATTTTGGAATGAGGTTGTAAACCATTCTGTGTTATTTCTGCATCATAAATCTTAAATGTATGACGTCGCCAAAGAAAATAAGATTTCTGAAGTATCCAGAAATAGTATCAGTAATTAAGCCAGTTTCACGAAGCAATGCGACTGCTCAACCAACTCCACCAAATATGCAAGACAACAATAGTGAACATGAAAATAAAGTTTCATTTGAGAGTTCTACGAGTGAAACCGCAAATCATTTTATATCACAAATTGAATTAAACGATTTAACTAGAGACTTACATTTATCAAAAGCTCATAGTGAGCCTCACGTCTTCACGTCTCCAACAGTGGAACTGCTTAAGTGAATCCACAAGAGTAACTGAATATCGCAACAATGCTTATTCATGTTTTCTCAAAAAATTCCATCAAACTGTTTATTGCAGTGATATTAAAGGTCGTTTCAAGAAATTGCAAATAAGGTGTAATCCTAGCGAATGGTGTCTTTTACAGATAGTTCAAAATTTAGTTTAAGATCTGCTGTTGTTCACAACGGCAATGAACTTCTCACTATACCATTAGCGCATGCCGTTGGGGTAAAGGAAACCTATGATGAAGTTGCGAAAGTTTTAAAGTTAATTCAATATAACGAATTCAATTGGAAGCAATTGGAAGCCAATCTAAAGGTTGATTATTTGACTAAAGTACAGAGCAACAAAGGATCATTTCCTACGTTCATCTTGGCCAAAAAGCGAAGATCTCATAATAGGAATTCAAAATATCGCAAATAAAGCTCTTATTGAACCGTGTCAGAAAGTTTTGCCACCTTTGCATATAAAACTTGGCCTAATGAAAAATTTTGTTAAGGCTCTGTAAAAAAACGAAACTCCTGCGTCCGAATATTTTATACATTTTTTTCCCGGCATTTCTTTTGCCAAAATTAAAGAAGGAATCTTTGTTGGACCACAAATCAAAAAACTGATGAGGGATGAAAAATTTAATAATGTGTTAAATAAAGAAGAGTTGAAAGCATGGACTTCGTTTAAGCAAATGGTTATCGGCTTCTTGGATAACGAAAGAGATTCACTTTATAGAGAAATTATTTCATCTTTAATTGAAAATAACAAAGTTCTTGGCGCAACTATTTCTCTAAAAATGCATTTTGTGCACTCTCATGTGGACTTTTTTCCTTCAAATCTCGGTGCAGAATGTGATGAACAAGGTGAAAGGTTTCATCAGGATATCTCTGCAATGGAAAAAAATATCAAGGGTATTGGGACGCAAGCATGTTAGGAGATTATTGTTGGACAATTATAAGAGAAACAAATCCTACACACTATAAGAAGTTTGCTCAAAGCACACATATACCTTTCAATAATACAGTTCTACGTTCGACGTCAAACTTTTATATAAAATGCAATATTTAATATTTAATAATATTTAATAATATTAATTTTAATTTTTTAAATAAAATTTGTGCAATTTTGCATAATACAGTTTTGATTTACACTCTAAATTTTACAAAATAAATTCGAAAAAATGAATTTTCTGACTTGTTAATAAAAACTACTATTTTGGGCAAATTTGGCAAATGGGGAATAACTTCTGAAATTTTTATTCGATTTTTATGTTAAGCCACTTAAAATGTTTGTACTAAAACAGTCTTTAACATTAATTAAAAAAAAAAATTTTTTTTAATATATTTGTGGGAGTCCCATCACCTTGAAAATCGAAAAAGTTGAAAAAAGCGTAAAAAAAACATTTTTCATCTGTACATTTCTAGCTATAGCAGCGAAACTAAGTAAGATACATTAACGTTATGTAACTCAAAATATTGGTACAAGTTTCACCTTTAATTTGATATATAATATACTACCGAGATAACTTCAGAAAAAAAGCTATGGGGGAATATGCAGGGTGATGTTTTGAGAAAAGTCAAAATAACGGTTTTTTTCAAATATCTCGAAAACGGTACATAGGAAAAAAAAATCGTTATGATTTTCGAGTTCTACGGAAAATTTCCCTATAGGAAATATAAGTCTCGTCTTTGGAAAACAAAACTTTTAATTATTTGTAAACTAGTGTTATTATTAACGTTCTTTATGCAAATATGAGATTATATTGCTTGATTTATACATACATATCAAAACATCAAAACAATGACTTGCAGTGTTAAGTTCCAGGATCGGTCGAATAAAAGTTCCGAAATAACCGTGGTGACTGTGTGAGTTACAGGATGATGAAAGCTTAGATAGGTGAAACTAGTAAGCGTCAATGTGAAGGAATCTGGCCAATTGAATATGAGTGTTATGATAGACAACACATGGATTCCGTCATTAAACGTAGTGCTCAGAGCTGCATTCAGACATTTAATGAAAATCTCATTCGAATATACTTCTTTTGAGAAAGCGTAAATCGCTTACAAGAGATAGAGAGCTAATATTTAGGTTTGTTACAACTACGAACTCGAGAACTTCAAGTTTGAGTCTTGAGAGAGCGGAACAAAAGCATGGAACATGTCGTTGGCGTCCAAGCAAAGTACACATGAGTTGCTGTCAGCAAAATCACGACGAAAGAGATGGCCAGTGCTCGCACCAAGAATTAATCTCCAATCTGATTTCAGAAACACTGTGATTTCTCTATATAATATTTGATTCAGATTTGTTTCCATGAATAGGATTGGATTTAGACAATCCCACAATTAAATGCGGTCGACAACGTACCGTAGTAGAACTGGTTTTCAGGAGTTCGTCCTCTATATAGTACATGACTATATCTTAAACTTAATTGGACTAGAATGCTAGCTGTCTATTCTTTCAAGTTACCAAGGGAAGTTCCTCACTCTCACTTTACTAAAGCGCACTATGAAGATGACAATTGTATAAGTTAGTGATATGAAGGTACTATATTAAGGTACTGTGATTAGACTGGCAAATCACAGGAATCGTTATACTAAGAGATACGTTAATATTTGATAAAACCAAATTGGCATTATTTAAAACTATGTTGTAGTTTTGATATATTAACCCCATCAACCCCATTACAATACAATACTACTGCACTAAACACTACGCTGCACTTATCTCTAAAGCTGAATGGAAAAAAATAATATATTAAATAAATTTTTAAGTAGATATCAGTTATTAGATATTAACAATAGTAACATAACAATGAGATAGATTGTTTCTGAAAGCTTTCTTGTTCAAATATTTCCCTCTCTAGCAGTGTTCAAAAGCTTCGAGAAGAAAATTCTAATTGTGTTGTGTTGAATGCATGTTGCAGTCACTTCGACAACGGTGAACATTGAGCATCGATGAGGTCAGACAAGTAAAACGTCGTCGGAACGTATTTTGTAGAATTTTTTATTTTTGTTTTAAGTTTAAGTTTCTAGTAAGCAAAAATTAGACAAAATTAAATTAATTAAAATTTTTGTTAAATCTGTTTGGATATCTTGCATAAGTTTCATTGAATTATGAAGAAAAAAAGAACTAAATGGGAGAATTATTGTGATTTTGTGGCGGGTTGCTTCGGTGGTAAGTGATGAAGTTCTAGTGAACACTTCAACGTCTATAAATGTCTTTGTATGTATGGTTGTTTGTATATCAATCTTTGTGTTAAGAAAATGTGCTGCAACTATTTCCGTATTCCCTTCTCTCTGTGGGTGATGTAACCATAAATATTCCTACCACTCACATGTATGCCAATAGTTCAGTTCATTCAACCACATCGCTTCTCACACACTTAGTCACTCAACTGCACACAATTTTTCTCGGCCGCATTGAACGATGCGCGATGTCCATGATCTTTCTTTCGATTCCCAATTTGTGTGTCTTCACTCGTACCATAGCGTTTGGCATTTTGGCACCTGTTTCAGAATCAACAAACAAACAAGTGGCAGACGAAATAAGCATTTCAACATATGGCACAAAATACATTTTGTAAACATTTTTATTTCTGTTTTTTTGGCATAATTTTAATATAGTCCAAATTTTTATATCTTTTGGCGAAAGGTGCATGCGGTGTCTTAGTAGGGCATCCATTGGACACGATCAAAACATGGCAGCAAGCTTCAAACACTTCTGTGCCAAGTGCAATGCGGCAAATTTATCTGCGGAATAATGGCGTAAGCTAGGAACTCCCATAGAGCGTAGCATACATATATCCATAAAAATATTTCTACTTTTTCATAGTTGAACGGTTTCTACAGGGGTATGTTCTTTCCGTTCGTAACCACAGGTGCCATTAACTCAATACTTTTTGGTATATATGGAAATCACTTGCGACAATTGCGTCACGTATGCCACAGCGACTACCAACGGGAGCAGTTAGAATATCAGAACATGTTTGTTGCGGGTTCCATAGCAGGATTCGCACAATCTTTTATTGCTTGTCCAATTGAACTTATAAAAGTTCGCCTACAGACCCATTGCTGTAAGTTTTTATTTACTATGTACTACTCTTCTTCTAGGTAATTTGTCTACATTCTTCTTGTAGTTTATAACGAATATGTTTATGGCATGCGACGCACTCCATGGGGTATGTTCAGAAAAATCGTACAGACTGATGGTATTTCCGGTATATATCGAGGATTAGTACCAATGATGTGCCGTGATGTGTTTCCATATGGCATATATATGCTAGTTTACCGCCAAACTGTGGACTATTTGAACACAACAGAATTCGTACGCAAACGTCAGGAGCGGCGTCTACTTAAAGAAAGTGGAAATGTAGATTTTCTTGTGACTACATTAGCTGGTGCCTGGGCAGGAATTCTGTCATGGGTGTGTGTTATACCGTTCGACGTGGTGAAAACAATTATGCAGGCCGAAGAGAATCGTCAATATCGTAACATACGTCACTGTTTGGTCAAGAATTATAAGGTAAGAGCATCGGTCATAGGTTTCTGTCGGTGATTGTTTTTTGACTTTAAATTATTTTTTTTCATTGCTTAGTTATATGGATTACGTCGTCTGTTTCGCGGTTCATGGATGCTGGTTGTTCGCGCAATACCTTTTAATGCAGCAACTTTTCTCGGTTACGAGTACGCATTGGAATGGTGTCATAAATTGAATGACTCATACATTTAAGTTTCTCAATTAACAACATCAAAATACAAAAATATATTGATTTTTCAAAGTTCTTTTTATTTAAAATAATTATTTAATTTCCAAAAAATGACAAATTGAATGTATTTAAATTATTTAAAAGCTAAGTTGTGTGTCGTTGGTTTCCATGTCGCTAAGCCCACTATTTGACGTATGGCAATAATTATATGTTCAATATTATACAAATATATATCTTGAGTCAGATCAGAAGAATTTTTACAAGCAAGTCAATAGAGCAGGCCTGAAAAGAAGCATCAGTTAACGACTTTAAGTGTTAACTATATCATGATGAAATTGTTTGCATCGATGGTTCAATAGTTCCAGTCGAGCTTTGGAGCTTTGGAATTAGTTACGTAAATTTATCTCTCTTCTTCGATATTGATATGAAGATTTTTAAGTTTGTGTATAACGTTTTAATCGTTTAATATAGGCTGACCAAGAAAATGAATGTTTTTTTAGAAATTGGTAGGCATCTCCCAAAGCAGGCTATAACCGCATTACCGCAAAAAATAAAGAGTCCACTTTCTATGTCACTCTCAATATTTGTCCTGTCTTTGTCCGGTTTTAGATGAAAAGTGTATATTCCGTTTAGATGCCTACTTCGTAATTGTCTTATTGTGATGAATTTATATGTTTATTAAATTCAAAAAATGAGAAAAATGTTTCAAAATCTGTTTCTATAGTTAAATAAAACTATCTGCCTTGATGATGATCTATCCTATTTTATATATAAAATCTTAGTATTTCTAAAAATCTTATAAATCATATTTTTGTTGTGACGGTTCAAATAAAATTTGGGGTCAAGTATTTCTTGATATATCTAATGTGGAAATAGTTTAAAATATTATGTTGGTAGTGTGCAAAAAGTATTTAAAATCTATTGTCTACGTGAGACATCGATAGGTAAGATGTTGTCGTGGTAACATCAAATCAAGTTAGTTCGTTATCTATTATAATGTCATGATTTAGGGAAACTATATTTCAGTTTCTTTTGATATTCTATTAAAGATATGATATTCTCTCTCTGTCTCTTTTTATTTAACTCAAAGCAATCCTAAACAAAATCAGCTGACTTGAACCTTGACTTATCCAGCGTCTTCACTGGATTGACCTTGGTAAGATTATTGAATACAGTTTCTGTTTTTCACAAACATATAAAAATTTCAGTTTGCAAACAAAATTCGAAAATAATACAAATTTCCCACTGAGACGAACGACCTAGTAGTTCAGTTTCTTATTTTTAGTTAGCAAAAAAATTTATTATGACAAAATTAGTTATGCCCCTTAATGCATAATTATTTGACGGAAATGTTTTATTATGATATATGACCTGTGATGATCACACAGGTAAGCGCTAATTTATATCTGCATAACAAAATTTAGATTTTTTTGTGTAGTTACTTTTGTTAATACAATTTACTATTCATAGAAAATTTTTAAATCCTTATTTCTAGGAAATAAAATTATATACATAATATATATACAGTGTTGATATTATATATATATCTAATGTTGTAACCCCTCATCGCAGTTGTTTTGACCTTGAAAATGTGGAAACAAATCTTTTTATATATCACAATAAAACGTTTCTGTCCAATGATTAATTTTTAATGTAATTAATTAATTTCTTTCCATAATTTAAAAGGATTTAATTTGGAACAGATTGTGAACATTGCTGGGTACTTTAATGTATTATTATTAGGAAGTTGTAATTCGCTACAAAATATAACAATAGATATTGTTGACAGTTTTGACAAACTGTCATTATATTAAAACAATTTTTTTTACTATTAATTACACCACTATTACTTGATTTTACACAAATTGTGCTCTATATATAATACTCTATACTTTATATTCAAACAAGATAATATCTTTAACATTCCTTTCGAAACTATTTAAATTCTATTAAAATTTTCATTATGCTACATCTACTTTACTTTAGTTTGTTCGCATATTCGAAAAAACATTTTGACATTTCGAACAGTAGAGTAGAATGAGTGATTTGTATTTGTGTACTCTTCAGTTATTATTGACTCACGGAAAACGATAGTTCATTTGCGGAGCGTTTGTACTTGAAGAAAATAGTTTGTTTTATTTTGCTTATTAGTAGCTTAAACAGCAATTAAGTGTTTATTGTTGTAAAAATATGCTAAAAAAACTTGGTATAGATGAAAGAATAATGTTTTGTGTTGCCAAATTAAATTTAATTTTGCAAAGTTTTGTGCATGATTTGTCGTAGCGTTTGGAAGTACCCGAGAAGACATTGCGTGACATCACAATAAAATAGCATCATTGCTAATGTGTAAAATGTATACAAAATAATTTAAAAGTGAATACGAAAAAAAAAATACAAATTTCAATTTTAATAATGTTTAAAATATCATGCAAAAATAATAATTGTTAAATGTGAGCTCAACATGAAATATGAGTGTTAATTTTCTAAGCTTAAATAATGAAAAATTCGGCTGCTCCACTTCTAAAACGAGAGAACGCATCAAAAAGGAATAATGAAAAATAAGGCCAACGTCGTATCAGTAAACAACAACAATAACTAAATAACGCAAACAAAATGAATTGAAAAAATAGTATCAAAAACACAACGTAGTAACAATTTAGTTCTTTTGTTTTTCGATTTGATTAGTGCTTAGTTATATTAAAAAAAAATAAAAAAAAAAATCATCACAAGTGAAATTTTTTTACGCAGAAAGTGGCGCCTTTTTAGTTGAGATTTTTTTTATTTACGCGACAAGTGCGTGTATGTGCGTGCATACGTTATTAATTTCTACCCGACCGCCACCCTCAACAGCACCGGAATTCTAAATATAAAAATATTTAGATTTTTTTACCCTTTGCGGAACACGGCAAGCCAAACATCCCTTAATGTTCCATCAAATAGAAAAATAAAAAAAATTCCGTAAACAATGTCGTCGTTGAAGGTTGCCGTGCGGGTTCGCCCGTTTAATGCCCGGTTCGTACTTTGAATTTTACACTTATTTATTTAAACATTTCCACTTATTTATTCTATTTATTTATGTATTCTATTTATTTATATATGTATATATTCTATTTACATTTTTAATTATAGTATGTACAGCTGTTTTATTTAGTTAGTAAGTACATGTTTTGTCTTCAGTTCTTGAGTGAGTCGAAATTTTTAGGTCTTGCCCTATTATTTGTTTCTAGTATTTATTTTTAATAAATAAATAAAGAAATTTAGAGCATGATTCTTTATTTCTAATAATTTAGTTCCAATTTTAACATATTTAGTATTTATTAAAAGGTTTCATTGGTATTAATATTAGTTGTTTAGTAGGGTTGGTAGCACTAGCATTTGATTGCAATGAATGAAAACATAAATGCCCAGTAGAAAACGGATCGATCCGTCATCGAAGACGTCTTCAAGACATGGATACATACATGAAGACCGATCGATCCAAAT